TTGCGGTTGTCTTGTCACTAGGGAGACTGCATTTTCCTTGGAGGCCCACAAGAGTCTTTTCTCCGGAGTTCGAACTCTAATGTCAACCCTGCGGTGCGACTTGTCAGCTGGGCGGGTGGGAAAAAAAAACCACTTTTATACTTTGTGCATTGCCAGGGAAGCAGCCGATCGGCTTCTCGGGCGCACAGCCGCAGCAGCCCCGGGCTTGAGAGGAGGCGCTAGTCCCCCTAGGGACCCCTTATAGTAGCCCTTATAGAACCCCCTGAACCCTAAACCCTAAACCGTAGTCGCTTCAAGGATTTAGGATGATTTAGGGATTTTTTGGGGGTTTAAGGCTCAGCGTTTAGGGCTCTAGGGTTTCATGCTTTAGGGTTTGGGTATTGGGTTTTGGATTTCGGGCTTTTAGGGTTTTAGGATTAAGGGTTGGGTTTAGGGTTTATGGCTGCGTGCTGGATCTTGAGGCTCATGGAGCATAGAGCATATGGTGGATGGATCACCCGACGGTTCACAAGCAAACACCTCCTATCGCATTTAGTGAACTTTTTTAGATGCCTTCTTTGGAAGATGTTGGAAGAGGGCTGGACCTGCCAGCTAGTCAATTGCGTGAAATACGGCAGAGGCAAATGTCCCTGAGAGAGATGCTTTCCGATGCTGCAAACAAGGTCAGAGCAGTTCGTTCGGATTTTCCAGAGGGTTTGTGAAGAAGACGGTGGCCAGGACTTGCAGTTGCACTGTCCCCCCACCCGCACCGAATGCATAGACATGCATAGACCTACCCGGCTTCCTGATGAGGACTAGCGCCGCATGATGCCTGAAGCTATCGTCTGCCCTTTGTTGACACATAAGCAGAGCAGAATTGAGGACAGGATGCATTCAAAACTGTTCCCCGCATGGACAGAATAATCAGAATCAGAGTGTGATGCGCGCAAATCGCCAAAAGACTTCGCGGCAGCGTGGCCGAATCTTACTGTACCTCACACTCGGGTCCAGCCGGAAGGTGTTGCGAAGAGCAAAGTCTCGGGACATGCCGATGGCATATTCATTTAATAATACACCCTAGGGCTCCAGGCAAAAAATGGGCTACTGGGTTACATATCATATGGTTAGTAACCTATTATTTAAGTAAGTAACTGGAGCCCTGGGACCAGTGAATCACAAACGCTTGTGCGATCTGTAGTGGCGGCAGCAGCCAGAGTCCATGCAGAGGCGGGGCTTTCACGATTGGCGCAAGAGAGAGAGAGAGAGAGAGAGACGGCATTGAAGCGGTGTTTTCACGCCCTGCTAGTACATCTTGGTCTGAAGGTCTTGCGCACATGAATGATCGGGAGTCGAAGTGCTTCGAGCCTCCTGCTCAGACCTTGTTTTGTTCACTCCCCTGGATGGCCTGAGCTGCAACGTGAATTTAGGGTTTAGGGTTTAGGGTTTAGGGAACGTGAACACTCAGGCAACATACGCCCTGGGACAAGTGTGCAGTCACCTCGGGTGGTACATGGGCGGTCTGCAGTATAGGATTCAGACTTGCTGGTACTCCGGTGATGCCATGGCGCCCTGCGGCATGCAAGGCGCCGAACTCGGCAAAAACCCTCTGAGCAAGGTGCCGCAAAGGCAGCGTGCAACGTGCAATCGCTTTGCTTTCTTTCTGATGAACTGTGACTCGGGGAGCATCAGAAACAGCTTGTGGACTTGCCACCCGCCTCCGGGGCGTGTTGGTGCGCAGACTCAGGTGGTGTTGACAGATGCTTTGGACTTGGCTCCAAGCTTGGCTCCAAAGCGCATGGGGAGAAGTGGTGCGAGCTCATCCATGCGACACATACGATGAAGAACACCTCCGGCCGTAAATATAGCAAGCAGCTGTGGGTTCTTCCTAATATGGGAATATCGCCATGACAGATACAGAGCAAACCTGGACGAAACGGGCAAGCCAAGAATCACAGCATCGTCATGGCAATGGCAGGCGTACATGAGGCCATGCGTTTCTCGAAGTTCTGAGCAGGGGCTGGATGATGTTGCTGTGAGGATTTGGCAGAGCTGATCAGGGAATTCGGTCTGCCAGATCGGCTTCTCCGTACCTTTCAGGAGAAGGCACAGGGTCTTCTGCGCCCTTTGGACCTGTCAGCCAATCGGCCTCAAAGGCTGTCACATCCATCAACGCAGTCATCAAGACCTTCGAGGACGATGAGCAGCAGCGGGCTTGGCAAGGGGTTTTCTGCTGGGAAGGCTCCGTTGACTGGTTCCGGAGTGTCAGGTTTGCGGACTTCATTCTGCAGCAGGAGGTTCTGGGTTCGAAGTCTCTGCGTCTGCGCCTGGCATTGAAGATGGCGCGGGCCTGTAAGAATTGACGGACGCATCTGCCGGAGAGGGTTCGGGCCGACTGCAGGTGTATATGGAGGCGGTGCAGCGCGCCCGAAGCAGGGGCCAGGTATCCGGGCGTCCTGACTGCTTTTGCAGAGTTTCTCCCGCATCGCCAAAGCTTACAGGTACCACGAATGTCTTCGTCTCCTGTTTCATCCTCGGCGCCGAGCCCACCCGCAACTGACAACGAAGAGGCGCCAGAAGAGTCGCCGACAGAGGACCAACTTTGTCGTAATGAGTGTTGCGCAGCAGAGTTATATGTTTCTCTGCATTTGCGACAGTTTGCGGCTAAGTACAACATGTAGCCGAGGATGAGGACGAAGACGAGGACACAGATCTTTCATCGGTCACGGTGCGTTGGATGATTTCACTTCTGTCAGCAGGCTTCTCCGCCGCCCCCTCCACTCCCGCCGCCAGCAGCCGAGAGATTTAAGTCATGCTTCCCGCCCCTCTCGGTTGCAAGCGATTTTCGTGTCAGGCCTCCCGACGCATCAGGCCATAGCATCGACGTGACGGTTGTTCTTGTCGTGACTGTGGCCAGATACATTATCTGCCCAGCTTTCATACTGGCAGGTCCCGCATGGCGTCCCTGATTTCTAGCGCCAGCCTAAGTAAGGCTGGCTTCAGCAATGCATGTCCGGTTCACCCCGTAAGTGCACGACTTGAAGGGCGAGACCAACAATAGAGAGCAAGGTTAGTCACACGAACCACATTTGACACTGGAGAGCGGGTCGTCTGATAGTGAAATTACACATAGCATGTGTCGCTGACAAGGTGTGCTGATCTCTCAGAAGCTTTTGAAACCATGATTGCATCCACTCTCGGCTCCAACAAACATGCACATTTGAAGACTCCTTGGCGTCTTGCCCCACGTTTGCAACGGCATGTCACGGCTGTGACGCCTACTCAACCGACTGCACAGAAAAGACGCCTCACCCAAGGCAACATGAAGCCTTTGCCAAGCTCCCCAGCATTTACCATATGTACCCGTATACGTCCACATCAACCATGCGGCGATGAGCCAGCAATCTGATGCTCCAAGCCAAAACGTGGAGGCCAGGGGGCTGTTACCATTCTTAGTCTTGCCCTTACCCCCCAGGTACCTACTATATAGGGTACTAGAGCCCCTAGGGCCCTATGGAAGATTAGGTTGGCAATGATAGCCAGCCGCGCCACGATGAGACGACGCCTGGTGCTTGCACGTAATGTAGCCGACAGAGCAGGTGAGGACTATTGCCGAATCCTACGATGCAGCTTCCGCAGCACTGGCCTTGCAGAGTTTCTGTGGCCTTTTTTGCCATATTTGGGCAATAAGACCGGAGGTCAGGCTCCGTGCACGATGGGCGCGCCAGGAGCCCGGGGTGTGCTCCACAACAGTCAAGTTTGGAGGCCTGTGACAGGTTGTTCTGCAGCTCAGCTCAGGCCATCGTAGATGGAGGCATCCAAGCATGGGGTGCTGCCCTCACACTTGTCGAATCTGGATGATGGTAAACGTGTGGGTTCTTTGAGGGGACGTCTCTAGAGTAAGGTTTGCAGGCTGCCGCAACTGCAGACGCCGTTCTCCCAGACCATGCCAGCTGCAGCCAGTCACGGGGGAGCAGCCGACATTGCACGTTGTATTGAACAAGGCTCGGCAGAATGTGGAGTTGCTTTCCAGCCGATTCTCCAATCTATTTTCCCAGCTGGCCAGAGAAGAGGCCCTGCTTCTTCCATTGCCAGAACAGTCTCAGGATTTGCCCGTCATCATTGGCCGGGCGCGGTTAGGTGACAGTTAACCGCTTCTGAAACAGGAGTTTGCCAGCTCAGATGTGGAAAGGTTTTCCAGGCATTGCTCCTCATCGCTGTTCAACCCAACATTAGCTGGCAATGCATTTGTCAGCGTACGCTGGATGTGTCTGAAGTCAAAAGCATGCAGGGTTGAGCAATGTTGAGCTGCCGTTGCAGGTGCATAGCCCGTCATTTCATTTGCCAGTGCAAAGTGCTTTCTTATGCTTTCAGGGTTAGTCAGCCGTCCACGGGACACCGGACGGCAAAAGGTTTGTCAGTCATCACTATCACTATCTCTCACCGTCACGCCGAAACCCCCAAGTATATAGGACCTTGAGGGTCTACTTGAGCCAACTACTTCCTATGCCCACCTGATATATTTATTCGCTGTTGCTCAGTTTTGCTTACTCATTGCGGCTCCTAATCATAATCATGATAATGCTTCAGGCCCGCAGTGATATGGTGCCTGGCGTTGCTTTTGCCATCTTGCTTAATCTAGTTCAACGCACCGCATCACGTTTTGCTTGGTGTCGTCTAAGCCCTAAACCCTAAACCCTAAAGCAAATTCTGCAAGGCTGCATTGAAAGCGGCGCAATCGAACAACGAGAGCTTGGAGCATCAGCTCCAGGCGGGGCATTCCAGGTTCCAGGGTTGGGGCGCCGAGGGTGCGTTTGAGTATCATAACCACAGCACAATAGTAACAACATTTTTAATATCGAAGATAGATCCAGCAAATTTTACAAGAAACATAAGAGGCCTTAAGAATTAGAATACTGCCCCAGCTCAGCTCTCCGCAGGACTTCCGCCGCCAGGATCCTCGCGGAAAGCGACCCGGATGGCAACCCGGGTGCTCATGATGAGAATGATAGGTTCAGGGGTTTTGGGTTTTGGGTTTAGGTTTAGGGTCTAGGGTCTAGGGTTTAGACAGATTTAGGGTTTAGTGTTTAGGTTTAGGGAGTATCCCTAACCCTCCAGGTAGCTACTATATAGGGCCCTAGGGGCTCTAGTACCTTATATAGTAGGTACCTGGGGGGTAAGGGAATGATAGATTCAGGGTTGAGGGTAGAAAGTGATTGTTGTCGCCATTGTTGACGCCATTGCTGCTTACATCGCTATCGCCCTTATCACCTGCCTATGCTCCTGCTCTTATTTAACTTATTTGCTACATTTGGCATGTACCGCGGCAGCTACAGGAATTTTGTTACTCGCTGCCGACAGCTGCCTCGTTCCAAGTAATCCTTGGGGTTCGCAAAGATCCGAGGCTGAGCCAGGCAGGGAGCTACTTCGACGGGGAGGTGACGCCGCAGGGGAAGCGGGAAATTTTGAGCCGTTTGTTCGGAATTGCTAAAGTGAGGAGTAGGAAACAACATGCTTGAAGAACTGTGGGAGTCGGTAGAATCAAAAACAGCCGGTACACCTTTGGCTCAAAGCCTCAAGGTCCCCATGCTGCAAGGGAGCGCAAGCCTCGCCCAGCAAAGCTGCGGAAGCTTGCATGGTCCTGACAGCGAGGGGGACAGAAGCCATCTTGGGAAGGAGCTGCAGACCTGGCTGGAGATCAAGACATGAAGACATCGGGGGAAGAGGAGGTTTCGAAATGCACATAGGAAAGTAGAGACGAGATCAAGGGAAGGACATGGAGAAGGTCAATGTCTTTGAGTCCTCGTTTGTGGTGATGCCTCTTCCTTGCTCATAGGCAGCCACACAAGAGGGTATAAAGCAGGAGGCGAACAAGAGGGTTTCACAGGATGGAAGACTGCCTGCAAGAGTAAAGGTATTAGATCAAGCATGAGTTGAAGCAGGAGGACGAGGACATGGAAAAGCCAGGTGGCTGGTGGATGTAGAGCAGCAGTTGCTCGGAACAAGCTGAGTAGGCTGGGCGATCCCACAGGCGTCGCATCGACCGGAATACTTCCATCCTTGATTGGATTGGCAGAGAGGGTCGAGAAGTGCCTCGTATTTGACGAAACTCTGCCATCCGGCCAGCCCTGTCTTGGGATTAACAAAGAGCAGTTCAGTGATCTGCGGCGACTTCATGCGACTTCTACAACAGGAGCTCAGCTGAAAAGCAGCGCCGTGCAGCTGAGAGGACAATGTGGGAGTTTCCGGAATTTAGGGGGACCTTATTTTGGGGTCCTTATAATCAGGATCCGACTATTTAGGGTTCTATATTGGGGCCCCTATTTCGGAGACCCCAATGTGGGCCTTGGATGCGAAGCCGAGGCCAGGTCGTGAGGATCTGTGGCAGCTCCAGCGCGGGAATTCCCTCACAAGGGTTCCCCTTTGAAGGGTACTACAGGATTCCGTAGAAGGGTCCCGTTAGAAGGTGATATAGGGTTCCTTTACAGGGTACTTTCTGTATTTCCTCTAAGAGTCATGCCGAAACCCACAAGGGAGGTTGCCGGCTCTTCGCGGCGAAGGGAATCAAGTACAGTAGAGCCGCAGGCCTGGCGTGCCGCGTCTTGGGACCCAGCAGCAATGTGAGTGGAGAAAGACGTGTACAATGTGCAGTTTTGGAGGTGCCAGCACTAGGCAGAAGGAAGATGAGCATGTGGCCTTGGATGCATAGTTGTCGTGACTGCTGCCTGTACTGCTGCGATCGGCCACAAACGAGCCCACTGTAACGCCTTTGATCCAGCTTGATGTGCTGGGTCCACCAACCAAGACTACGGTTTAGGGTTTAGGGTTATCATGAAATGGGGACCGGGCTGCTGTGCACGAGGCCTGCTGTAAAAGGGTTATCATGAACGCAGTTCATTCAGGTGGACAAGGTTCGACAGAACAAGCCAAACCAAACCCGAAGCCCAATGACCGAGCTGCGGGAGTCCAACTACTACTAGGCCTCGGGTCATTGCCTGGAATATTATATAATACAATCTACTGTAAATATGTTAGGAAATACTATAATGTAATATATCATAAAAAATTATGATGGAATATAGTATAGTAATATTTCATAATAGTATAACTCCTTGGTGTTGAGATCGCTCTGGAAGGTGGCAGAACTCCGGGCTGAAGCTCAGGCGGCCGAGCATCGGGCCAGAAGCACAGAAGACTGCAGCCACATTTGCCCGGTTGCTTGGAGTTTAGGGGTTTAGGGGTTAGGGGTTTAGGGGTTTAGGGTTTAGGGGGTATCACAGAATACCAAGACCCTCCAAGTGGGTATATGGTCCCAAATTAAGGGTATTTCGGGTCTAATAGAGGGTAGATGGAGGGTCTAGGTATAATACAGTATAGTATAGTATAGTATCTTAAGTTGTAATATCATATCACATATTATATTATAGTATGGCATATTAAACATAGGAGTATATGATATAGTACATTACAGTCTAGTATAACGATAGTGTCATATAGCATATAGTATAGTATATACGAAAGCGTCATAGAGAGCTTCATAGGATACTGGTAATCTGGTATGCGGTGGCTCAGGCGGCCCTTCAGGGCGGTGAGGACCGACGCTCGGTTTGCCTGGGTTTCCAAGCTACTGACTCCGAGTCAAACCATTGGACGGCTGAATGCTTAGCTCGAGACATTGAGAGTTTTCGAAGTTGTGTCACCTGCAGGCCGGTGCCTTGGCAGCGGCGCAGGCCCCGAAGCGTTTTTGTCTCGACCTCCTCGCTTATGAAGCATGTTGAAGCTGGTACACAGCTTAGTAGTCAAGGACTGCTGGTTGTCTGTCTCAACACCTACCCACACCGATTTACCGAGGTACAGTGAGGCATAAAAACGAACTATGCATTCGTGCTGCAATGTCATTGCAGCATCAATGTTTGCGGAGGCGATCTCTCTCTCTCTCTCTCTCTCTCCCCAAAAGGACAGCTCAACGCACCGCGTCTATGGGCCGACAGCAATTCCCAAAGGCGGGGGCTTAGGTCATCGAGCTTGCGACCTGCAGGCAACCTACCATCGCCAGTGCGCTCGCCTTCAGGAGAGATGCCAGGCCTGGGCTTTGACATCGTATTATATAGTCTAAGATAACATGACATGAGCCAATCTAATGGAACATAGCAGACTATACTGTAATATGTAGGGTTTACATGGATGCATGTCGTGCGCCTGGCAGAAAATAGGGCGCTTCGGCAGCCTCCTCGCTCAGGCGGAAGCCGCTCAAGAGCGCAGTGCCATGGAGACGTTCCGCCAGAGCGCACCTTGCCTTCAGAGCTTCAGCTTCCACGTTTGGGTCTGTTCACCTCAGTGTTCTGAGATTTCTGGCGTACAGTGCGGTGAACACGGTAACATGAGCCGATGCGTGCATGCGAGACCCTTTTAGGGCTGAAAGCCTTCGAAGCTTTAAACACCCAACCACAGGCCTCAGAGCTGGCCCACTTGAAGTCGGATTGCTCTCAGCTGACTGCCCAGTGCGGCTCTCGTGCTCGCTCTCGGGCTCTGTTTGGTTCAGGACGCCTTAGGCTTCGTGAGGCAGTTTGCCCACGTTAACTCTACCAGGATGGGGTGCTTGTCGCTAAATTCCAGCTGAGGCAAGAAGGCTTCCAGGAGTTGGGTTTGTCCTGACACAACTGAGAGTATTCAGCCTCGACGTAGCCTAGTACTGCTACCACCTTCGCCACCACCACCACGACTACGACTGCTACTACTGCTGCTGCTACTGATACCGCTTACTACTACTGCTACCGCTACCACTGACGACGACGACGACTACTACTA